GGCCCCGCTCCGTCCCGCCGGGCTCAGCCTCTCCCTCCCGCTGCTCCAGCCCCTCCCGCAGCACCTGCTCCAGGGAACAGCCTCTGGTTCACGGCCAATCCACTTACTTCATTATCCTTCCTACCTTTCTCTTCGTAGCCACCGGTTCAGGACACGAACCTGCAGGGGAGCAGCTAAGCACTTTGCCAGAGGACAGATAAACACAGGTCCGACAGTTTTGTTTCCACACCTCAATTCTGGAGCACCAACAAGCACCAGACTGAGGGGTGACCAGTCCCTTCCACAGGTCATACACTGACAAAGCCACCAAGTGCAGATCCAAGGGCATATGACTCCTAGGGAGTTATTTTTCCACACTGCTCCTACCTGGTTGAGTGGAACAGCCAAGCACTGGAGCACTGACGTGTCTGAGGAGCGTGATGTTCACAGGGAACCCTTTTGTGTAAAGCAGCACCCAACTCTGCATGGCAGAGGCTGTTAACAGGCGACTCTTGCCTGCACAGCTCCCGTGGGAGCATGGCCCAGGTTGGGGGGGAGAGCTCCAACCTGTACAACTTGCAAAGCAAAGACACTTCGGAGGTTTTAATATCATGTGACATAGGAAGGTCAGGGGAGGCCCCAAATATGCACCAACCATATCCTCCCAAACAGGGCAAGGGCACCCTGAAAAACAGACAACGAACAGCACACTAATTACCCACATGGCTCTGATGTCCATTTACCACCTCTGACCAACTATTTCAGAGAAACACACACCACACTGACACAGCACAGTCACATTGTCTTCACAGACACCCTCTGTCTACCCCAGCAGTGAGCAGGATTCAGGCCAGAAGCCAGCAGCAAGTCTCACAAAGGTCATTCCCTTTTTCCTTCCCAACCCAGGAATCACCTTGTTTCACCCCAGCACTGCAGTGAACGCACGAGGACCTTCCAGCAATCCTCTGGAGACGCTTTACACTTGGAAAAGGCCAAAATTTCACAGCTGTTTTCACCCAGATCTGGAGAGAAGCTCAGCTCTGTACCCTTCACTGTCTGAGGGAAAACAGGTAAACTTCAGGTTGTGAAATACTCCTTGAACTTGACAGTGTAACATGCAACTGCACAGGGATTCCATTCCTCGGGACCAAGCACAGCAAGGCCCTGACAGCACCTCACACAGCACATGGACCCAGAACTCCTTGGGCAGTTCCTTGGCACCACCTGACACTACCCACAGCCAAACCCAGGGCAGCCTGAGGACTAAACTAGGACTAAGATGCCCCTGGCACAGCAGCAGCAGCTGGATAGAGACAATTGCCTTTCACCACCAGGTTACATTCAGTTAGAGCTAAACGTGATCTGTAGGAAGATACTTCCAACAAATCAAAATTCCACAAGGGATCAGAATCTTAAACATAAATACAATTAAAGCCTTCTAATATTAATGCACACTTTTTATTATATTAAAATCAGGCAATGGTCTGGTACAATAAAAAGGCTGCTCATGGAATACTGTTGTGTTAAACTTGGAGTACAGAGGATGTTAAATCCTTACAGCTAATATTCTCCTCAAAAGTTAATGGAAACATCAATTGTTCATTGACTTCACAGCTGCTGCTTTAAATGTGTTTATTTTAACTTTTCTTTTTTTCCGTTTTTCTTTTTTTTTTGTACACAAACACTGAGTTTTCCATAAAACTTGGGACACACTGGGCTGAATTCCGTAAGCTTGCATCCACATTGCAGCGGTTAGTGGTCCAGAACAGCAAACCAGAAAGGGCAGTGATTTGCCAGGATGCAAAGCCAAGAAAGGTCCTCAATCTGCTGTACCACCACTTCCCCAAAATCTCCACTGGAGAGGTTTCTGACACTGACAGAAGCCTAACAAAATCTGCCCCAGGAGTTTGATTTGTCTGCAGTTATCACATCTTTACAAGGGCCAAACGCAAGTGCAGCATTTGGTGATTAACATTCTGGAGTCAACCCAGAGACATGATCCGAGTGTGACTGGAGCTGCTCAGTCCCTGTGTGCAGCCTCCCCCGTTAAGGTCTGGCAGCAGATTTGGGCAATCCTGGTAAATGACTGCTCTTTCCCCAGGTCAAAGCCTACCTAAGCGCGGCCGTGCCCAGCTGGGCGTGTGGCAGCAGTGCTGGAGGGAGAGGAAAGTCCAAGTTTGCGAGCACAACACATACTCTTGTTTCCCAGGCTGGTGAAGACTAAGTTTGTTGCAAAACCAAAATGATAAGCAGGAGGGAACAGGTCGAGTTATTGCCCCAGTGCTCACCCCTGGGCCAGGGGTGAGAAAAGTCACCGAGAGGGGCAAAAAGAAAGCAGCATCCCCACTAAAAAGCGGGGAAGAGGGAAGAGATTAAAAGAACCCTGAATCCCTCACCCAAAGCCCACGTCGCTGGTGAGGGGCACCAGGGAGAGAAATACAATCTATGCCTTGGCCAAAGGAAAGGAGGAAAGCTTTGCCCCAGATTATCAGGGCACCTCAAAAACAACAAACCCCAAACGACCACAGTCACATTCAGCCTTTACTAGAGCGAGCACAAAGGGAGGGATGACTGAGGTTAGCACACATCCCCTGTAGTAGTCCATACAGCCCAGTAGAGCACTGGGAGCAAAAACCTTTGTGTCTACTCTAATAAATAGCCCTGAGCTTCGACTCTATTGCAAAGGACAGAGAAAGAGAAAATAACTCAGGCCAGACACACAGCAAGGTGATTGTGGGATGGATCCTTTCACAGTTATGTTGGATGTGCCACACTGGTCTGGACAGGAATAAATTTAAATAGACTTTTCCTGACAGCAGAAGTTCAGCTATGTGGACAGTGGTTACACAACAGGATTATTTGTTATAGCACAACTTATATTTCAAATGAAAAAAAAAATTAGTATCATTTACAGTATCTCAAGAAAAACTTCCTTTGAATGGGAACTTCCTTTCCAGTATTCTGAGGTCTACAAGATGCATCTAGAAAATTTACTACTGTGGAAAATGAAGACAGCTTAAATTGAACAGGGGGGGCATGTTGGTTTGTTTTTTAATTAATTGCTGTAACATTGTCCTTCAGGTGGCTGAGGAAGTTTCATATTTTCTTTAGACATCATTAGACGCCGAAGCTCTTGCAGAACAACTTTGATACTATAAGAATTCTGCCATTTTCCTAGGACTGATATGGCTCTGGGGTCCACCTAAAACACACAAAAAGACCATTCCTGTCAGAATTGGCACATTGGATACCCCTCACTCCCCCCAACAGCCCCAGCTAAAGATCCTACCTGAAACCTGAGTGGGAGAAAGCAAAGAAAGCAAAAGCATTTCCCCTAACAGCATAGTAAGTCCCTTCTACCCCCTTTCCTTCTTGAACAGACAGCACCAGCAAGCAACAAGCAGCTAAGCAAGGGACAAGTATAAGCAAAGCTCTGGAAGCTGCACATGAAAAGGACATTCAAATGAAAAAAGGCAGAAAACTTACCACTCCATTAGAACTATTTACTCCATTCATGTTAATTTTTGTTACAAATCTGACAAATGGAGGTGCTTCTGGATACTTAGGCCCACATTCTATTTTAAGGCTGTATATTCTGTTTTCATAAATTGTCTGGGGGAAAAGAAAGGGGGAAACAGTTACATCAGGCAGTTCAGTGAGCATTTGGTACAGCAGTGGGGACTCCAGGAACACAGGAACCAGCAAACTCAGACACTGCACTGACTACCCCTGTTTTGGGTTTGTTCCAGAACATTCAGAGTATCAAGTGTTTCCTCTTCAGGGAATAAACTCCACTGGTCTTCTAGGCACCAAATTTTCCTATGAAGCATGAAACTGGCATTGCTTCCCCTTCACCATCTGGAATGATGTTTTCCACCATCACACAGCTCAGATACTTTTCAACCAACCTGTGCAGAGCAGCTTTGTTGTATCAGTTTACTGCTCAGACACTACCTTGGAACTGAGGCCACAGCTTTGGTTTGCCAATGACCTACAGTCCTAGATCTTCACTGGAAAGATGTTCTGCAGCCACAAACTTGCTGGTCCTCAGCAAGGGGAACATGTTGCAGAGGACATCCTGATCCCAGACACATTATCACTCTGTCCCCACATCAGCGATGCTGTTATACTCACAGCTAACAGAAGTCCTGGACAGTTTTGAACCAGCACAAGTGTAACATGGCTACATTGACTCTTCAATACTTCAAACTAATTAGAACCTCAGTATTCCCTTAGTATTAAGGGTGTTTTGCTGCACACCACCACCGAAATGCAAACCCTGAGTTCCTGGTCCAGCTGCTGCTCAGCTGTGCCAGCCAAGTGGCTTTAACCCCTCCTGCCTCAGGAAAGTCCCCAGAATCTCTCTCAATACAGCCTGTTGCCTCCAGCAATAAGCCCAAAAGAAGACAAGACACTCCTTGAAAACAAAAACACCTGTATTCCTAAGAGTGTCAGGAAGACAAGAGGGGCACAGGCGAGTGCTCTCCTGTGGTGGTCTCCAGCTTGGCCTGCAGTACACAGACTGCACACCCCTGGCACTGCTGGCAAGTCAGCCTGAGCCTGTTTGCACCCTTTAGTTCCCACCCCACTGTCTGAATTCCATCCCAAGGTTTTCCACAAAGCACACACAGGCACTGAGCTTCCCCCACAGCCTCAGTGCAGCCTCATTAGCACTCTCCTGATGTTCTCAAATCAAATGCTGCTCAAGAAAACAATGTGGGCACATCATAAACAAATGAAATGAACAAAGGATTTTACACCTTGATGTATTCACGAGTACAGGATACCCAACCCTGGAATCCCAGAAGTTATGCCTTAATGAATCTGCAAATACTAAGCAAACACCTAACAGAACCACCCAGAGAAAGGCACTAAAATGCTGCAAATGATAAGCAGAGCACACTAGTACAGGAAACCCATCACTACACTGAACCTGAGCCTTCAAGGCAAATCACTTCCTAAAGTGTTTTCTCACTCATTTGTGTTCTGTTTGTTTTCTACTTGAGTGCTTAGACTAGAAAAGGGAAGAAAAAAAGCTCACAGTGCCATTTTAGCATTTAAGTGGATACTTACTCTTGGAGGCCCAATAATCATTCCTGTCCATCTTGTGAGTGTCATATCTTCATCATCTTCAAGGCCCCAGCTAACTGTTCCATCACCTACTCCTTTCTGACCTTCTTCAAGTTCTTCCAAAAGACGAAAATTACGAGGAACTTTTACTCCTGAAACAATCAGAAAAACATTTGGAGTTGAGCAATCCAGTGAAGACACAAAGCTGGAGTAATTTCCTGACACTTTTGGCTGCTCTATAGAAACCAGTTTGGGCAAAATCATCAAAAGTACTTTTGGAATGACAATATTTCAACATTATGCAAAAGCTATTCCATATTTAGCCTGGATTTGACAAGCAAAATCCAGGTATCCCCAAGCAAACATGCCAGAAGGCTGCCAGGCCAGATGTTGTGACAGGCAGGAAAATGAAAGGGAATTTCTGTTCCTCAGAGATACCCCTAGTATTATGGAGCCCTAATTAGCACTTGTCTATATGATTTACAGTATAAAAACTTAGAAAAGCCTACAAAACGACACCACGAGAGGCTTGAGAGACTCACTCAGAGCTTTAAAAATACCTTTCAAAGCAAATAAAACTCTTTCATAACCGGAGCAGGTTAATCTGAAGTTAATTGAAGTGGGCTTTGTCAGCAGCAATAGCATCCCCTGTACTTATGACCTCCACCACCAAGGAATTTCAGCACTTGGTAATTGCTGGCACATTTATCCTCTGAACAGACAGCAAGACAGGGAAATTTTCTTACCCCTATTACACTAATGGAAAACAATGGCACAGAGAGCTTAGGCGACACGTCCAAGGTCACACACTAAGTCTGTAGCAAAGGAGGATCTTGAAGCCAGGCCACAGTGGCCTTAATTCCTCACTCCTCTTCCAGGTATCTGCACCTCTGGCATCACAGAACATAACTGTGCTCTAGGCCACCACTGCTCCTTTGTCCTGGGCACAGGTTCTGGCAGTGTAGGGGGCACAGGGCTGGTTCCTGTGAGCAGCTGCTGAAGATTCCCCCAGGTCTGACGGGGCAACACCAGCAGCTCCGAGATGGACCCACTACTGCCAGGGGCAAACCAACAGCAACACTGGCAGCAACTCTGGGATCAAGTACTTAAGAAGGGAAAATGTCACTGCACAAGAGGAACTGCAGCTGGAGAGAGAAGTGGGAGTATGTGAGAGGAACAGCTCTGCAGACTCCAAGGTCAGTGCAGCAGGGGAGGAGGAGATCCAAGGTGCCAGAGCACAGATTCCCCTGCAGCCCAGGGAGAAGACCATGGTGAGGCAGCTGTGCCCTGCACCCACAGAGGTGCAGAGGGGAGCACAGATCCTCCTGCAGCCCATGGACTGCTTGGCGTGTGCACAGCACAGCACCTAAGGCACTGGGAAGTGCAGCAGTGCTGAAAATCGACTACCTCCAGGAACTGTAAAACCCCCTTTGAACACATCAACGACCCAAAGAAACTTATATATCAGAGTCGATTTTGCTGCAGATCAGAGTTATCCAAATTTCATTCACCACAGAGCATGCATTAAAAAAACCCAAACAGCAAATTACCACAGAAATTAGAGTGCTGGCCAGTTTGAAGCACATCTAACATGGCCATGCCCAAGAACACTGTGGGGAAAGGTGACTTAGCTGCAGCAGCACTACCAGGGACCCAGACCAGCCCTGCACTGGCTACCCCAAACCTCTTGGCTGAGCTGCCAGGGCTGCTGAGGAGCACAGACCCTTGGATGCTAAGGAGAGGAGTCGGTGGGGCTGGTGAAGCCATTGCCACGGGGGTACCCAAGTCCCACACCCTGGGTGGTAACAGGACCTCCTGGGCACCGCTGCCACGTCCCCTGCACGACAAACTCCAGCGTTTTGCCTCCCAGAAAGCCTCACAAGCATGCAGGTGTGCATCCTGTGCACCTCAGGCCTATGAAGGGCCCAGTGTGCAGCTCATACCTGAACCGTGACAGATGAACTGCCCCATCTGTGATGCTATCCCCAGAGCTCCCCACACTGCGGCTCGGGAGGCAGAGCAGAGCAGCACAGCTCCAGCATAGGGACAAGAGCTGAGGGGCAAGAGCAGCAGATGGAGTATCAGCTGAAGGATGAGGTGCCACCTTTGCTGACATAAACACCACCTATTTCCCTGCTTCTGCTGCAGTGGACCACGGCAGAGCTGGGGATGGCGAATGACTCACGGCTGGCGGTGCCTGAAGCTGCAGCCTGGGCTTCAGGGGAAAAAGGGCCAGGGAGAAGGGCAAACAAAAGGCAGACAAAAGGTCCTTCTGGAGCGGGAACTCCACCCTTGGGCCTGACACAGCAGCTCCTCCCCAGCGCAGGTGATGCGGCAGAGGAAACTCTGTGGCTATAATTAGGAGGCAGCGGAAGAGCTGCCTCCAGTGTCACTGCCAGAACACTCTGCCAGACCACAACACACCACACCTGACAAGCATCATCTCCATGTCTGTGCTCCAGTCCTTGACAGCAGCATTTCCTGTTTCTCAGAGGTGCAAAGACTCACTTAGAAACTACTGATACTCACTCAGACCAAACCAAGTAACCCGCAATCAGCTTAATGTCAAACACAGGCCACACACCAGAGAAGGAAACAAAAAATACTGCCCATCCACCCTAGCTCTGAGCATCACACCCTGCCCAGCGAGGCAGGAATCCCACGTGAAGAGAATTAAGTGAGCATGTAATTAAAAATGACATCACCACGTACACATCCGAGGAGGCCCCAGCCAGGGCTGAACCAGGGCTCAGTTCTCACCAGGGCTAGGCTTGGCTTCACAGCCTCACGGGAAGAGAGGGCAACTTTACTGCTGAGCTCTCCCCAGACACAGCTGCTCTGATTCAGCATGAATTTCACGTGAATCAGAGCCACAAGAGTCAGGCAGGAACTGAGAGCTCTCTGGGAAGCCCGAGGTCCCCGGGGAGCTGGCGAGTCACCCTGTGCACTGGCTGCTATCACAGGGAAGAAGTTAACACAAATGAGTGTTCATTCCACAGCAACAGCTCACTCGAGGGAGTGCCACAAGGGAAGGACACACACGAGAGTTTTTAATGCACTTCACAGATAATAAAATGGTCATTTCACAACAAATGACCTGTCCAACAGCATCTCAACATGTTGTATCCCTATGCTAAACCTCAGAGCTATAGGAAGGAGGACCATCACCTCAGGCACCACAGCAGTGTAATTCAGCTCCCTCCCTGACACCTTGCAGGAAATAAGAGGAAGCAAATCACACATACACATATAAAAGACTATGATCACCAACACTTTAAACCATTTCTGAATAACCTGCCCTTAAGCAAGGCAGAATAAAAGACCAGCTTCACCCTCCTGGTCAGCCTGGAAAGATGCACAAGGCCATTAAGCCAACCCCATCTCCTCCTCATTCGCAATGGCCTGGAGCATTCGTGGTCTGCCACCACATCCTGCTGGGACCTGAACCTCAGAAGCCACACAAACTTTATCACTTGTGGTCGTACACAAACAGCATCATCACTGCTGCCCACCAAGATTCCTAGAAAGTGAGCTGATCCGTTCCAGGCACACACAGTGTTTGCCAAGTAACTTCCATGGCTAAACCACGGCAGATGTAGAGTGAGGAGATGTCCTGTGCCTGACACAGCCACAAGTCGACTGTGTTTCCTCCTCCCACCCCCCAGTAAATGCTTTGTATAACCCTTTCAGTGTAGCAATGGAGACTTCCAAGGCAGCAACCAAACCAACCTGTTTTTCTAAGAGCTCTTCATTTAACATGAGAAAACCTAAATAAAGTGAGAGGCAAAGAAAAAGTAATCAGGTTGTCCAAAGAACTTTCAGTTATGAATTTCAATGCAGCCTTCACTAGGGCTGGAGACAACTCTCAATAGCAGCTTCATCTGAAACAAAACCACAGTAATGCCCTGAGAACTGCTCCACTTGCATGACCACAGAAACGCTCCAGAACTGGAACTGAAAAGCTGTTTCAGAGCAAAAGGAGATCTTTACTATTAATTGCAATAGCAAATCTGTGAAGGCTAAATCATACCTGCACTGACAGGGTGAGGTCTCCAATGTCACATTTGCACAGTGGTTCTAAGAGTTCACCTTTCATAAGGTGCATTTATGAAGCCTCAACCCCACATATGAGTTCTACAGCAATCATCTCATGGCAGCTGGAGAGCAGAACTAAACCACAGACTGTTCTCCAGACAGCTGGGATGTGTGCTGTAGAGCTTAAAGCTGCAGCTCAGAAGCTGCTTAGTTTGGGGTGACATCCCCTCCAGCCCTGTTTTCCCTGTCAGGAATTCCCCTGGCCCCTCGAGCCCAGTGTCTGCTAAAGCAAGAGCTTGCAAGGCAGGGACAGCAAGCTGAACTGGGCACAGAAGGTGTCTGTGTCTGCTCAGATCCTACAGGAGGAACAGAATTCCTGGAAGCCAGTTAAATGACAGACTGGACTTTTCAGGGCCTTAGAGCATTCTCAGATATAGCTTTCATCACAGCAATGCTAAAGACACAGATACATGACTGAATGTGTTTGACAACAGCTCTGAGAGTGATCTTACCAGTTCTCATCTTATATTTACACTCCCTGAAGCGCACGCTGTGTTTGTAATAAGTCAAAAACAACACTTTGTGACAGACTATACTCATTCATCTTCTCTTTTGCCTCAGTTATAGAGCTGAAGCAATTCCAAATCCACAAAGCTTCTGAAGCTGAGAACAGCACAGTGAAACCAGGTGGGCAATGTGCCCTGGGGAGTAGATCCTGCGCTCAAATCCTTTTGATCAGTATCAGTATAACAAAACACACTCCTCAAAACCTTCAAGAACATGTTTCGCTCCCTTTTCTAAAGCAAACCTGAATTAAGGTATTTCTCTTCAGGACTAAAGCACAGGCTCAGGGCATACCACACCCCAGTAAAGCGCCCAGAAAATGCACTTCACTCCCATGGAGCTCCAAACCCTCTGTTTGCTGAAGGTTTCTTCACATGGCCACCAATAACAAGCAACTTAAACTGGCCTTTCTGGACAACTTGAACTCTGCTTTCTGTACTAGTTCCTGATTTACAGCACCTGCAAGGAGCTGAAATCCAACAGCTTTGAACAACTTTGTTGCATAATGCATTAAAGCACCTTCTGTTGCTTGTTTCCATGTGTTTGATGCTCAGTTTAATATAAGCTTTCCAAGGCATGCCTCATCCCTTTGCAGAGGCTGGAGGTTGGGTGGCTGACCCTTGCAGCACTGTGACTG